CCCCAGCTGTTATTAGTCGAGTAGGCGGAGCTTGACGTCGAAAAATATGTAAGGAAGGGGTAAAAGCTTCGTAAGAAATGTAGATAGGTACATATGTACTTACACAGGACACAAATTTGGTAACATCAAAACTTGGAATCTAATCTTGGAAGAAAACTTAATGATGATAACCGTAAGAAAAATCAGTTGAATATTTTTTTTCGAAGAAGCTACATATATCTAATAATGCTATAAAAGTTCGATTGAGATGATGACCTACATACATCGTGAAAAAACAGGTTCTTTATTATTTCGACATCGTATTCAAGTTTTACTCTACTATTTGTTATATATATATATATATATATATATATATATATATGTGTATGTATGTATACACACACGTTATATCGGAAGAATTGACAATTTATAAATGAAAAGTGTTAATTAATGAAAATTTATTTTTTCTCTTTCTTTCTCTCTCGAAAAAGAAATAATATGCAACAGACCAGATGAATTTCTTAAATAAAGATCACAAAGACGAAAAAGACCGCGGTTATTACGATGTGTCGAGGAAAATGGGAACACGAGAGAGGTGAGTAAAAGGGACCAATGGGATCTCTCTCGAAACGTGCACCGGGAGTAACTCGACATGGCGCGTGGCTCGGCACGGTGGCCGCCATACTCATTTCTTTCCCTTTCCTTCGTACGGACCGACCGACCGACCGACCAACCCTGCCTCGAGCGGACATGCACGACGGTATGTGTCAGGACGAAAGATAGAAAAATAAGATCAATGCTCGAGCAATAAAGGATATATCTTTGGCTTGTCCTCTTTCTCTCTCTCTCTCTCTCCCTTTTTCTTGAGTGAGAAAGTCACAAGTTCTATCATCGTAGTTATATCGTCATTGTTGTCCTTATCAATCTTCTACCACGAATACGTTGTCGCATGGCTAGTTAAAAAAAAGAGAATCGACGACAGTAGTAGCGGCTAGTAACCCGCCGTAAGAAGAGTGGACACGCCATGACAGATGATACGGCACGCACAACAAACAAGTCCACTTGCCAAATAGAAGCCGCGCGGTGGCGGCAGCGGCATGAAAACCGCGGGAATCGCGACGAGGGACATTCGTTATTTATATCGAATATAGGATCGACAATGATTGACGATATTCGACAATAGATTAACGATTAGAGATGATCCTACATTAAATCATAGCGTCGTAGTCTGATGCACTGTCAACGTTAGGACACTTAGTAGACATCAAAGAAAAATCGGGGACGTTAATGTTAGGATGGCAGTTGTTGTACATAAGTACATACATACATACATACAATACGTTACCCGCACCCCGCACACGCCGTCACCGAACGATCCGTCGTTCTTGCATACGCGAGTGAAAGTTTTCACTCGGCACTTGACATAAACCGGCCTGATTTTTCCCGCCGATCGAATCGAATGTGTCGGCGAACGCGAAAGACGATGCTCGTAATATTTCACAGCGATGAAAATACTTATGAAATGCAGCCGACGATACGATGAAGCAACGTAGTAGAGCAGATCCTCGACCTCCCCCGCGAGTGGGGAACACATCGGAGACGCTTGACAACTTGGGAACATATTTGTTGATCTCGTGAACGTGATTACGCGTGACAATCGATCCGAACGATGACGCGTCCTTCATACGATAATCCCTTACCTTTTCGCGACGATCGTGGATGAAAATCACATTAAGATATTTCGATTTAATGACTACAGAATTGCTTACCTTTTCAATACAGGTGACGGTCAGATTTGAGAATCCCTTTGCGCAGGTCTACAGCGCTGCCTGCCGCCGTACGTCCAAGTCAATTCAGCGACCATTTATTTTTCCGATATGCTTCGTCATTTTTCTTAATACCATATTATTTTACACTTTATTTGTTGACTACTGCTAAATTTATTTATAAAAATAAGAATTATTTACAATCAATGAGTATTGTCAATGATACATTTGTTTTAAGTGTACAAAAGTAAGAGGGAAACGAAATGGTATACTATGACCAATGAGAACGCATTTAACGAAGACGACATTTGATGAAGAGAAATACGATTGGTAATAATTTGCGAAATGGCATAGAAAGGATATATATTTGACTCCGTTTCCGTTTCTTGGATTTGAGTTGTTTAACCGTTTATTCGGTGAAGTTAGGTTATGGTAAGATGAAATTTCTTTTAAAAATATATTTTCGTATATAGATAGACACATATATATATATGTATATATATGAATGGATTCGTTTTAAAATATTTTGAATTTTTTATTCGATACAACTCTTTCGTTTTTAGATTATATTAATCATAAATTTGAGATTAAATTTTTTTCTAATGCAATATGCCATAAATTTTAAATAAAGTATATATTGACATTTATATTTTTTATTTCTTGTTCGTATATTTTTGAAGTTATTGCGTCATTATGTTTTATATATATTTTTCTTCGCAAATTTACAATTTACTCAATATTTTTGAGTAATAAATATATTTTCATTCGACATAATACTGTACAATTATGTTGTCAATGACAAAAAAAAATCACAGATCTATCTCGCTCGTGGTAGGCCAACCTAAACCAATGAAACACGTACCAGATTTAACCAATCAAAATTGTTCATAATTAATAGTGAACATATTGTAGCACATTGATTCGTGGTCTTTCATTTAATGTGTAAACAAATTTAGAACGTTAATGTCTATCTGATAATTGATGTGCTATAAAATTTAAAACAATGTAATTTATTTTGGTGGAAATAGTATTATTCAATTATTATCATCAAAATGAAATTAAAGTTCTTTTAAGTGAGATGAAAATTAAGATCTGACATAAATTCTTTTAAAGCTTCATTAGGTTAGGTTTCCAAACGAAAATAGTGATTCGGAACATTATTTTTCTTTTCAATTATTATTTAAATCTATGAGGTCTTCATCAGTTATTTTGACAACAAAATTATTTTGTTTCATGATTATGTATGAATTGTTTATAAAATGTAACAAATGCAAATAAATTATGTGTTTATAATTAATTTAACATTATTTGATTTTTTACAATTTTGATAATTTCATAACTTTGTGAAATTAAGAAATTGATGAAGTGATATTAAAAGATCTAAATATATCTATACTGTAATTTGTTCGTACATGATCCATATTTATATATATGGTATAAAAGGTATTATATATGAGTGTGTATATATTGGAATCATGGTATCATTTAGCATTTCCGGGTAAAAATATATCTGCTGAAGCATCCGACTTCCAACATTCGTGATAAATATTTGTAATAAAAATGGTAAAATTTGTATAAAATCTAACCTACCGATATGTACATAATAAAATTAATATACGAACATAATTTAATATTATTCGAATTACCATTCTTATAAATACTTAGTTTTGAGAGAGAGAGAGAGAGAGAGAGAGAGAGAGAGAGAGAGAGAGAGAGAGAAAATTGAAACTCATTTGAAATGATGACAATTCGTCATCGAGAAGAAGTCATCGTTCCCTGACTGTTTAATCTTTTTCGTATTTCCGTTCGCGTCAGATAACAATTATTATAACCATGTGTAAGCATATTCAGGAAACATATACACAAATGAATGTCGAGGATATATATTCCCAGAACTAATGATGTTTTATGATGTTTTAATCGTATGCATACGTCGATATTAAATCATATTTACTCTATAACTGTTTCTCATTTGCATTGAGTATTGGGCAATTTTTAAATAGATTAACTTTTATTTCTCAAGCAAAACGAATATTGAATATGTAACTGAGACAATTATTTACGTGACGATTTTTCAACTTTTTGTGTTACCCCTAGTCTTCGTAATTGACAAATACAATATTTTTTTATAAAAATATCGTATATGTAATTGTCATGAGTGGTATAAAAAAGAAAAAAATTTTTTTTTTTTAAATATATCGAAAGTGTTTTTCTATTTTATATAAAATGCAATTTGATAGAATATATAGAAAAAGCACGTTTTCTACTACTACATGGAAGAGCGCGTGCGCTATTACTACACGAAGAAAAACGAGGGAGAATGAAAGAAAGAGAGAAAGAGAGAGCAGTGATGTTCGACAGTGCGGCTCCAGCATTGGACGCGGCGGCTATACTCCTTGTTTCTTCTACGTCTCAGTTCGGTTCGCAGCCTTGTACCGGGAAGAAAGGGACATCGTTCAACTTCTACATTTTTGAGATTTCGTTTGCACGAAGAGGTTAGAAAAGATGAATCGTTTCTTCTTACTTACTTCGAGTTACGAATTGTTTATCCGAGTGACTGGTGATTTTTTGAAAAAACCTCTCTGTCGTTATCTCTGTCTCTCTTCGCATGACTTTTCTCTCTCTCTCTCTCTCTCTTTCTCTCAAACACGGTATCTGTAAGTCTATTCATTCTCTCTCTCTCTCTCTCTCTCTCTCTCTCTCTCTCTTTCTCTCTCTCTCTCTCTCTTATACATACGGTGCCTGTTAGTCTATCCGTTTTCTCTCTCTCTCTCTCTCTCTTTCCCTGCTTTCTATCTTTCTCTTTCTTTATCTCCCTCCACTGCACTTTCAGGATCACTGTACTCCTTGCAGTCTCAAGATGCGTAGTAAATACTCTCACGTACACCATATGATTGTAATCACATAGATTTTATATTTTCTTTTTTTTTTTCTTTTTCTTCTTTCTTTTTCTTTTTTTTTTTATTATTATTTTTTTAGATATAATGACCTGTTTCTTAGAAGATAGATCCGATCAACCACTCTTGTAACCTAATTTGCACCAAGCTGAATTTTTTCGTAGGTGATGACTATTGAAGCATTTTAAAAATAGTCAAAAGATAAAAACGGGAACAACATGTCTGTGTTCTATTTTTTGTTCTTTTCTTTTTTATACGTACCGATTGTTTCTTTATATTCAAGTAACGATGGAACAAAGGGACACTTATAGAAATTTTCAAACGCTTTATCTTCTTAGATTTATCGTTTCTTACTGTACGAGGACGCATAAAGTTTTGTTCTCAGAACTAAATAGTAACTTATACTTGATGCAACTAGACGGTATCTTGTTGACATTAGTCTAGTAGCAAAGGCTTGAAATGTTCTTGAGATTTACTTGAAAAGCATTCGTTATCTCGAGTTGTTTTACGTTTGCATGCTTTCCTTTTGAGACTTTCTCGCATGTAAGTTAAGACAAAGCAAATTTAATATTCATTTTATCGTAGATATCATACGATCGAACAATCCTACGAATAATACGCGTAATTTATTAAAAATAATATATCGAAAATAAATTCAATCGATCAACAGTATATATTATTACGTAGAAAGAAACTTTTAAAAAATAACGTATTACCACGCGCTTTTTTGAAAACAGAAATTAACAACGTATATCATTCATTTTTGTTTTCTCTCTTTTTTTTTTTTAATAGAAAAGAAAATTTTTATCATTGAACGTTCGAAAAAAATCATCGATCCTGATGGACCCGTTCACGCTATTATTCGACTACTCAAATCTTCGAAAATAAAAGAAAAGTTTGGCTAAAGTGAATCGAAATAAGGGTTACAAGTTTTAATGGTGTGTAAAACAACGAGATTTGTATTTTGGTGCATCCGTGTTGTCCAGTGATTGACATCAGCGAATTGAAAGAGACTGGAAGATTTAAAAATTGAGATTGGAATCAAAATGTGTGGAATTTTTTTGAAATTTTTCCTACTCGTTATCACCACGTTTTTCGTGGTACTGGCTGATCCTGATCCCTCGGATGAACTTTATAATCGATGGCCACCGACGAATCGTGACGAAGACAAGTGTTATGATGCTCAGGGAAAACCACAGGTTAGTTAATTGACGATCAACTTTTTTTTTTGTTTTTTTTTTTTACTTTTTTTATACCTTCTTTCATTGAATTATCTGTGATAATGTTTTAACAATTTATTAATATCAATAAACTAAATGAAAAGATATTGCAATAAATATAGACTAAGTTTGTTAGAATTATTCGTAGAATAAAGACAAATTCTGTGAACATAAAGTCTAGAGCTATCTTTATTTCTTCGAATTTCTGTTGTGTCGGGTCAGAGGTTGAACACATGGTAAACGCCATGTGTTTCATGTATGGTTACAAGATCGTATTTTTACATATGTTTTCACGAAAGAGAAGAGAAAGAGAAGAATCAATTTTCTTTTTATTTATTATAATGATTTTTAATGGATATCTTTCGATGTTTATTTTCATAATAACTTTTCTTTTCTTCTTTTATATATATATATATATATATATATATATATAAATGTCGTAATCGGGAAATGTGTTTTAATCGTTTCGATGTATTTAGTATTCCGATTAGGAAATATTTATCTGAAAGAATGTGTCGAAGAATCTGTTCGTGGTGTCGATGACTCTTGCGATCTTGATCTTCGTATAAGTGTAACCAATGAAATATATAAAATTAGCGCGCTTAGATGAAAAATAGTCGGTTCTTCGTGATTATTCTGATATACGTAACGCTTTTTCCTAAAGGGAATTGGAACGACGGGTTATCGTAAAAGGTCCGAAAGTTACACGAACTTTCTGAGATAGCATAGAAGAATGATAATGTGTGATAGATACGAGACTATCCGGTATATTCCCTTTTTCTTTTTTTTTTTTTATATATGTATATATATATAGAAATATTACGAGCGTATATTTATTTAAAAAAAGAAAAGATTTAGTGATTTTAAATTTTCCTCTTCTTTCTCATTGTAACGAAAGATCAAACATGCGAATGTCTCATTGATTATGTTAGATAAAAACAAAAACGTGAATGAAAATCATGGAACGATTTACTGCTATAAAGAAATACTTTAATCTAAAACGTTCTTGGAATTAATTATTACATTTGTTTTCCTAATTAATTTCAATTTCTATGAAAATATTGAAAGGAATTGTTTTATTTTTCGTGCAATGGTTGGAAAATTGTCGAGCTTTCATGCCATCCATTCTCACCCTCCTAATTAATTTTTAATTCTTACTGTGAAAAAAATAATTTTTATATTTCTTACATTGGTTTTTCTTACATTCTCGCATTTTTATGTAAACCATCTTTTTTTTTAAATTTCTTCAAAAAATATGAAAGAAATTCTTTCGAACTTTCTTGTCGGGTTTTTTGTTTTTTCTTTTTAATTAATGTCTAATAAAACTATGAGAGAAATCATTTCGTACACTTTTATGTCTTTTAAAATTGTTAAAAGTTCTTAAATTTTCCTGTTGGTCATTTCGTTTATTCTTTTTTTTTTTTTTTTTTTTTTTTTTAGAGATGTATTCCACCCTTTGAAAATGCTGCTTTCAACGTATTTATGGAGGCAACGAATACATGCGGAGAGGAACGTCCAACAGAATTTTGCAAGCAAACTGGAGTACAAAGGAAATCTTGTGAAATTTGCCGATATGGCGATCATCCAGCTTCTTTTCTTACCGATCATGATAATAACGACAATGCGACTTGGTGGCAATCAGAGACCATGTTCGAGGGCATTGAATATCCTAATCAAGTCAATTTGACTCTTCATTTAGGTATAATTATATGTAGAATATTATATAGATATACTTTATTTCAAAAGAAATTCGTAATATAATAAATAATTTCGTTGTAAATAAAACGTTCGTAAAAACCTTTTTTAAAAATTCAAGCTTGAGAGGATATGAAAGAGTTGAACATATAAGGAAACATCGTCAGTCTTGCGTAGGTGGGATCTGTAGGATAACGATGCTGTATAGTTTGTGGGGTTATATATTTTACGCGATTCTTAGATCTTCGAATCACGTGTAATACATAGGAAAAAAAAAATATATATATATATGAAATCATTCCTATAATTTTTAACTATTTTTTATATATTTAAGATATGTCTATTTTTTAATATATGTATAATATTCAGGAATAAAAATAACGAATCTTAAATTATAATAAATATTAAATAATTTTTATCAATTTAGGTAATAAGACATTCGATATCACATATGTCAGAGTACTCTTCGAATCACCTCGTCCAGAAAGTTGGGGTATATATAAAAGGAAAAATGAGCAGTCACCTTGGGAGCCTTATCAATTTTATTCGGCTACCTGCAGGGACACGTACGAACTTCCAGAATCGAAAGAAACCGTACGCGGTGACGATACAAGAGTACTTTGTACTTCCGAATATTCGGATATTTCTCCATTATCAAAAGGGACAGTAGCTTTTTCTACTTTAGAAGGACGTCCCTCAGCGTACTATTTTGAAATGAATCCAGCATTACAGGTAGAATAAATCAAATTTACAATGCATAAATATGTACATAAAAATAAAAAGAAAAAGAAAAAATCAATTTAAAAAATGTTCATTGTTTTTTTTTATCTCGTTTTTATAGGAATGGGTACAAGCAACTGATCTAAGAATCACTTTGGATCGATTAAACACGTTCGGTGATGAAGTGTTTGGCGATGATCAGGTTTTAAAATCTTATTATTACGCGATCGCTGATGTTGCAGTTGGAGCACGTTGCGCTTGTAATGGTCATGCTGGGCAATGTGTGAACAGTACAAGCGTTGATGGTAAAACGCGAAGAGTTTGTAGGTAAAGTCAATTATAATATTAAGTTTTCATTTTGATCTGTTTCAAACGAACTTTTTGTAATTGTTATTTGTTTTTATAGATGCGAACATAACACTGCTGGTCCAGATTGTAACGAATGTTTACCTTTTTATAATGATGCTCCATGGGGTCGTGCCACGACGACTGATGCTCATGAATGCAAACGTAAGCTTTGATATTATTTTTTCAATATTTTTGTTTTTTCCCTTATGATTTATTATCATATAAATAAACAAGCATGAGTTTCAAGTGAATTTCTAGATTTTCAAAAGGAAAGAAGACGTATATTTCTTTTCGTTCAATTCTCGAGAGAAAGAACGTAACTTCACGATCGGCTTGACATTAACCAACTGACTTTACCTTTTACGTCTGTTACGTGCATTCAAGTGGGGGTATTGTGCACTGTGCAAGGACATATAAATGTAGTTTCTTCTTCGTGTTCTTAAGGCTCAGTATACGATACGTCGCGATATCTATAGAAAGATATTTGTTGTTTGTTTCATATAATTTTTTTTTATCATTAAAATTTAATCAATGAAAATGAATGAACTCGAAAGGCAAATTAATTGAAATTAAACTAATTTATAATTTATTTCTAAATAAAATTATATTAATGATGAAAGTGATAATTATATCGTTCGTGTTAATGAACAATTTAGTGATGTGCATAGCATCACGTTGGAATGGAATGTTTTCGTGGTATCCGGCGTATAGTAAGGTTTTTAATAAAATTACAAAAAAGAAACTAATTAATGTGGTTTGTCATCCTATATGTTGTTTATTTTCAGCTTGTAACTGTAATGGATATTCCGAGAGATGTTATTTCGACAAAGAATTGTATAAAGCGACTGGTCATGGCGGTCATTGTTTAGACTGTAGAGCTAACCGAGATGGAGCTAACTGTGAAAGATGTCGGGAGAATTTTTATCAACGTCCGGAAGATGATTATTGCGTAGCTTGTAACTGCAACGAGATTGGTAAAAATCAGAACAACTGTTGAAAAATATAAATTTAAATTTAAATTAAAAATAAAAATAATATTGTACACATAATGATTATATAATAGTAAGTCAAATATAAAATAAAAATGTAATGGCGTAGGTTCGAGAAGTTTACAATGTAACAGCGAAGGCAGATGTCAATGTAAGACAGGAGTAACAGGCGACAAGTGCGATCGTTGTTCTGCGAATTTCTACAATTTTGGATCTCTTGGTTGTACATCTTGCGAATGTAGTTTACCAGGTTCGCAAGCAAATACACCAAACTGTGATCCGACTACTGGAGTTTGCTTATGTAAAGAAAATGTCGAGGGAAAACGTTGTCGAGAGTTAGTATTACTGCTTGAGAAAAAATTATTTTCATTTTTTTTCTTGCCATG